AGACCATATAGACTAACTATAGAGACCATAGAGACTAACTATACAGACCATAGAGACTAATTATAGAGATCATAGAGACTAACTATACAGACCATAGAGACTAACTATAGAGACTACAGAGACTAACTATAGAGACCATAGAGACTAACTTTAGAGACCATAGAGACTAACTATACAGACCATAGAGACTAACTATAGAGATCATAGAGACTAACTATACAGACCATAGAGACTAATTATAGAGATCATAGAGACTAACTATACAGACCATAGAGACTAACTATAGAGACTACAGAGACTAACTATAGAGACCATAGAGACTAACTTTAGAGACCATAGAGACTAACTATACAGACCATAGAGACTAACTATAGAGACCATAGAGACTAATTATAACGACCATAGAGACTAATTATAGAGACCATATAGACTAATTATAGAGACCATAGAGACTAACTATAGAGACCATATAGACTAATTACAGAGGCCATAGATACTAATTATAGAGACCACAGAGACTAACTATAGAGACCATAGAGACTAACTATACAGACCATATAGACTAATTATAACGACCATAGAGACTAATTATAGAGACCATATAGACTAATTATAGAGACCATAGAGACTAACTATAGAGACCATATAGACTAATTACAGAGCCCATAGAGACTAATTATAGAGACCACAGAGCCTGTCAGTTATCAAACACTGTCTGACCCGGTACATATATTTTAAGATGACAGTTCACTACACAGGAAATATTAGGTGAATAACATGTTTAGACAGACTGATAGATCAGATTGACAGAAAGATAGAAAAACAGAAATAGATAGATAGATTAGATAGATAGATTAGATAGATAGATAGATAGACATACAAATTGGATAGATAGATAGATAGATAGATAGATATATGGAATGATATATTAGATAGATAGATAGATAGATAGATAGATAGAATTATAGATAGATAGAATGATATATTAGATAGATAGATAGATATATAGAATGATATATTAGAT